TACAAGGCTTAAATATCTCTGGAGAGGAAGATATTTTCAGGTAGAAAACCCAAAGTCCAGTCTTCTATTGTCAACAATCCATTGAAAGGATAACAACATAAACAATGTTTTAGCTGGAAAAAGCCATGCTTAACTGGAGATACTGGGAACACCACCCTCTGATAATGTGTGCAAAACATATCACATATCTTGACAAATCTGGATTGCCCCTGGGACTAATTTTGGATGCCCCAAGTTTACTGCTGATAAGCTGCATGTTACACGACAATTCTTGCGAATAACTTCACTTCTAAAATGCCCAAAGCTATATGGTTGGTGAGGAGAAATAATCTCAAGAGGATTTTACAAAAGACCTGGCATTCACCATGCTCTGGTGTCTTCAAACTCTTAGAGAGATTCAATAAATCTCGACGTGATTGCCTCGAATTGACTGTAATTGGCACAACAAAGTCTTCAAATTTTGCCCCAAAAGGGTAAACAAGTTGGAGAAGCATTAACTGGGAGAAGCAACATGTTCGTGCTTACGGTCTTCAGGTGACATGCCCATGGATATGATTTTTTTCTTGACGTGATCCGCCAATTACTCAACATAGTTTCAGGCCTTAAAAGAATAAACTCATCACTGGTGCTTATGTGAGCTTCCTTGATATCAAACAAATGTTTTGCAGTTAGAAAAAGTTTAAAATGAGAATGAAAATTCTAATGCAACAGTTATGTAAGTCTTGAAGATTTTGAAAGATATCGCACAAATTTTGTGAGTTAAAGCACCATTTATTTTTGTATAGGAAAAACATATGATACCAACATAACTATTTAGAACATTCATGGGAGTCAGGAACCCTATCTCATTGAAGTATGCTTTCAAAATAACCTTGCTTCAATTAGGACTTTTGAAGGTTGTAACGTGGTCTGGTTCATGGTTTTTAGAAAAAAGATTTTAAGGCTCAAAATATTTGGTGCCCACCCATTCTTCATGATGTTCTCCAACCCTATGTTCAGTTAATTCAACATGAGTGTTCATCTATCAAAAGGACTTTGTGACGGTCAAGGAAACGACGAGGCTTTCGGAGTAGAAATCACCCTCATGTCTTCGTGTTTGTAGTCACCAATTTGTTCTTTGCTGAGGACTTTTCTTTGCAGTCCTTTTCTTTGCAATTTTTATTTTCCCTAACTTTTGCCTGAACTAATTCTTTTGAATTGATAGTCCAGCGGGATGCCTTAATTTTGCCTAAGTCACACGTTTTCATGTTTTTTGACTTAGAAGGCTTTTCTTTTTCTCGATTTTTGACTTTTTGAACAAAATGTGTGACATTAGCTTGTATTTGCTTGTTGAGAAGATTGTGATTGCCTCGTTTCTTGATGAATGAGGGATAACATTGTGATTCCACATCTTCTGGCTTCATTATACATGAAAGATAACCCTCGTAGTTTCTCTTCAGAAATATCTTCCTTATGAATTTTGAACACTCAATCAGATTAACTGAAAACTACCCTGCCCCAGGTTAAAAGTTGAGGGTTTTTTTCGTATAGAAAAGAAACTTCTACTTCAAGGCTCAAAAGGGGTTAGCAAGGGATTATCTTCCTTATATCTCCGGTGTTTAGGGATTAGAAACAATGCATGTACATCATCAACAAGATCTTATTCAAAAGCATGCAACCAAAGATTTTGTGTTCTTTAGATCATCATCCTCCCTTCAATCTCTGCCTAGGCAAGAGAATGGGCAACAAGTTGGTATCATAATGCAAAAAGCAATTTAAGATTTGAAAACAAATGAATTTCTTCAAGACAAACATACTCATTGTATTAAGATGATCATTAAGATGCAAATAAGTTCTTACATGCAAACAATGTTTTAATAAACAAGAAAATTTACAAAAGCAGAAATAAGTTAATAATCTGGAAAGGCTTTCCATCTGGACTTGTGCTGAAGGAAACATGTCTTAAACTTCAAGGCCAAAATCAACAGAGATTCACTTATGCTTTAGCAACGGGGTTGACTTGAGCGGCAAGATGAAACTTGTGATGTTTACAAAGAAAGACCTCCAAATTCCTTGAAAGTCAAGTGAAAAGGGTTTTATGGATGCATGAATACATGGCTATGCAACAACCACAAGCAAGGTCACAAATAAAGTTGAAAGGTTCAACGTCACGAGCATGGAATCAAAGGTAAAGAACATCCCCAAGGTATGTACTAACAGTTTAATCACACCTGCAAGACAAGGTTCTAAGAGTTCCCGGAGTCTACGTTCCTCCTTCGGATATTACCAACGTCTTGATTACTCAATAATCAGCAATATTCTCAAGAGAAACTCATCCGAGCGTAGCATCGCGTGACAACTACTTCCGGATTACTCCGTTATAATCTCCGCGCTACACCTAAAAGGCCAAGGTGGGTTAAGGGTTCTACGGTTCTCAGCTTCTTTGGCTCCCAGGTCGAAAATAATAATGTCTTCCCGATTACTTGGTAAACAAATATTACGTTCAAAAGGGCCTTCCACTGAGTGGGGGATCTCATGCCTCCTTCTTCGGGATTACTCCCTCAAAGTTAACATGACTATACCGCCCGTCCTATTCCTAAGTGTAACTTAGTCCGAGTATAGGACTTGTCCTTTGCAAAAACCCAAATAACCACAATATATCGCAATTAATTAAACAAAAAAGTAATAATAACAAAAACAAATATGACAAATTAGGCTTAACCCACTTTAGAGATGGACCAGCAAGAGGTCAATCTTTCCCCAACAGAGTCGCCAATTCTATAGCGGTGAAAATCGGAGATCAAGCTATTAATTAACTTGACTCACAAAAGCAAGAGTCGCCACCGCGCTTTATTATTTCCAAGGGAAAAGGGAAAAGAGCGAAATAAAACCCTAAAATATGCAATGTAAAATAATACTTAAAAGTAATGAAAATACAATGCGTTTTCGAAAAGAGATCTAGAGTTCGGGGGTTGGTTATACAATGAGAAGGTATTAACACCCAATGCATCTGTGGTACTCCGCAGGAACCTTTTGAAATATCTATTTTTGGTTAAAATTGTTTGTTTGATTAAAATGGTTCGTTTGGTAAAAATGTTTGGTTTGGCTAAAAATGATTTATTTGGACGATATTTTGAAGATACGATGACCTAGTATCTAAGTTTTGACTTAAAAGGTGGTAAGTTTAAAAATTGATTTTTTTGGAGATTTAACTTAAGTTTAACAAAAAGTAAAATGTATGAAAGGGTATCGCACAATCGTATCAGATGCTCAATGACATGAAGTCAACAAATTTAATTCTTTCCCTTGAAATAAATCGAGCGAATAAAATGGACATCAAAATATAAGCATTCGAAAATTCACAGGAAAATAAATGAAACAGATTAATGACCAAAAAGCACCGAGAAATTAAAATGACAGAGATATGCAAATGAAAGACAATGTAATTAATTATCTAGAGAAGTTATTTGAACTAAACTAAAAATTTAAGATTACTTACTAAAATAATTCTAAACTAATTATAAATTCTAAGGTTAAAAATAATTCTAAAATTACTAAATTAGATCTAAACTAAATTAAGATTTTAAAGTTATAAAAACAATTCCAAAATTACTAAATTAAATCTAAACTAAATTTAAAATTTAAAATGAATAAATTAAATCTAAAATAAATTAAAATTATAAAGTTCCCAAATTAAATCTAAAACAAATAAATATTCCAAAATCACTAAACTGGTAACAAAAACATGTTGCTACATTTAAACTATATCTAAATTATTATTATTATTACTCTCTCTGTGTGACTTGAATGAAAAGAGACTCAAAGAAAAAAACATATTGCTTACTAAATTGGTAACAAAAATCAAAGAAACCAGTTAATCTAAACTATATTAGGAGACATTACCAACAAAACGAATTACCTCTAACACATTCATATATAATAATAATGATTATCTCAAAGAAAGAGTAGCTTTGTTGAAGACACTCCCACTAGCTAAATCTGACACCACCGCCTCAAAAGTATTAAAATTATGTTTTGAATCTAGGTACTTGTTTATTTTCTCTTATTTTTTGTTACTGTTGTTTCCAACAACTGATTTAGACACAACACGCCACAAGAAAACACACTTATCAAAATTTCACAAACCAATTTCCATAGTACTACTTAACAACAACATTCACACTCTACTACCACTAGCCATGTTTTAGCTATGTCCCTTGTTTGAATTCATGCATACCTAGAGGTTAATATCAGAGAAAGGAAGAAGTGGAGAAATATGAAAAGATGAGTGATGAGAAAGATGAGTTGTTCCTCATCTTTTAAAGACAGTCACCACCAGAACTGCACAAACACAAAAAAAAGACAACCAATTTCAAAATGTTCCAACTCTCTTTCTCTTTCTTTCTCTCTCTTCACACTCCAAACACTTTTCCTCTCTCAATCCGAAAATCAACAACATCAACAATACCTCTACTAATATCTGTCCTCTCTCTGATTTCATAAACCAAACCGAATTTCTAATCTCTCAATCTCACCTCTCTTAGTCGATGTTTCCACGGTTCACTCACTCAATCGCCTCTCAATGAACAAATCAACAATAATGACAACTTTAAGCATGTTGGAAAGAAGAATATTGAGAAAAAGAAATACTCACAGAACCGAAGCTTGTTTGGTAGGACTTGGACTCCGACGATGGTGTGATTCAGGTACGATTTGAAATGTCGCTCTTCAACCGTTTCTGCTTCTAGCCCTCTTCTTTTGATTTCTTGTGATTGTTTATTTAGTCTAAATTGCTACTGCAGGCGAGATATTTGAAACTCGTGCGATTCTATTTGTAGGTTGAAGCTTTGAATTGGATTTAAGTTTGGAGGAAGGTTCAAGATTTTTTAGGCAACTCTTATGTAATTTTTCTTCCTCTTTTTTGGTTTTTTGAAGTAGGTAAATAAAACTTTTCATGTTTTCATGTGAGGAGTGTAGTAAGGTGAAGGTGGTTAATATGATCATGTGATAAAAAGAGGAAGATGCTTGATATTGTAGGAAGATTTGGTGTTGTGAATCCGTTACTGTACTACAGGTATAGAGTAATTTCAGGAAGAGTACATGCTGTCATTGGGATGCCGATGCAGAGAGATTTTAAGAGTTTTTATCGTTTTTTCTTGCTGTGTTATTTTCTCCTCTCCTCCCTCAGTAATTTTTCTATCAGTCCCCCCTTTATCTGATGCTGAGCTCCCTCCTTTATAATGGAACAAGGTGGTTTTTTGGGGGAACAAGTTAGGTTTTTGAACAAATATACTATTATGCTTTTTTCACTTTATTGTTGTAATTTTTGATTACCTATTTTAGTGAAATCCTTGGACTGGTTTGGACTGATATGATGCAGCTTTTTGCAGGTTGGGATACAGCATTTTGGACTGGTTATGGGCAGGGGCAGCAGCAAGTTTTGGAGCTATTGTTTGTGCAAATTTTTTGACTTGTTTTTGGACTGATATGCAGGGTTTGGAGCAGCATACAACATCAGTTTTTTTGGAACTATTTGGCAGCAAGATAGTAGCATAGAAACAGGATTATTTTGGTGATTTAGCATAAAGATTTCATGTAATTTTAGCACTTTAGGACTTAGGAATTCATGTGTTTGTGTATGGTTTTATAATGAGATATGAAATGGTGATGATTTTCTAATGGAAATATTTTGTAATCTTTTGGATTCACATGAATGAAAGTATCAATCTTGAATGAAATTCTTGAATAAATTCTATGCCAAATGATCTTTCTCTCTTAACTTAATCTCTAGTCCGAATTGACACATAATTTCATTCCAATTAAAATTTGTGTCGAAATTTGTCTTTGAATTTGAAATGCATGAATGATGAATGAAGTTGAATTCTTGAGAAAGGTCTTGAATAATTCTTGATATTTTGAACAATTCACATTAATGAACTTGCACTCCTGAAATAAACCTTGAAAAATTGGAATGCATCTTACTCAAGACATCAAATTCATAAACCTTCTTGAATCTCTCTTGCAAATAAGAACCCTAATGTTATTTGACAAACTCAGATATTTTGGCTTTATGGTATTGGTTACTTGAAAGAAAACTTCACAACAATGAATTCAATCTTGATCCAGATCTCAAATCCAAGTTAGCATGCAAACAACAAGAACTTGAAGAATTCTCAACCCTAACTCACGTCTTCGCCTCATAGTAATTTGCAATACAAACAAATAGCACAAATCGTGCCTTTAAGAAATTTAATCAAAAATCCACCTTAATCCAATGATCGCTACCGTTCAATTGCAAAATGACTTGAAGTAGTCCATAATCAATCAAAGAATCATTGGACTAAAACTCCAATTTCATGAATTATCCCAACAGAAAAACTCAAACGTTCTTGAGAAAACATCTGTGGCATGACTTGCACCTTAATCTTTGAAGTAATCTCATAACCAACACTATTTGTGATACTTTGCAAAAGAATTGCCTCAGGACGTTGAAAATTGAAGAAGTCATGACCGTTTGATCTTGAACTTACAAGAGTTGACTTTTGGTCAAAATGCTTTGAATCGACTTGCAAACTTGATCTTTCTTTGCATTATAAAGCATCTTGATGCACATGTAAACCAGTGATGATGAAATCTTGACTGTGCTTTGGGGAATTTTGGAAGAAGCTCGAGACCACTTATCGAACAAGGCGTGGAAATAAACACTCGATCCTCTGAAGATCCTCGAGACAGAAACTATCACACTTGAAACAACCCTGATCAAAATAAGCCTGAACAAAGCTTTAGAAGTCGTGTCTTGATGAATCAGCCTTCGAGAATCAATAATCAATTGTACTTCTGGCTTGAAGAACTCAAAACCCTAATTAAAGCGCAATGCCTGATGTTCTTGATTTAGACTTGTCTCTGCACATGAAATCAAAGAAACAAAAAAAAACACACATTTCGTGCTTGATTAGAAGTTAGTGATACATAGGCTAAGAATGTTCAAAACACTTGACAATTTCTGCATAGTCAATGCTTGAAGGTAAGAGGTTAAAACCGACTGTATTTAATGACCTTGACTTCTGTACAAAAATGCAAAAAATAAAAATGGGATCTTAAGTCAAAAATTGGGGTATGACAGTAACAAAAAAAGGTAATTTTGGTGTTGATAAAAAAGGCAGAATAACTAAAGAAAGGTAAATTAGAGAAAAATAAGAAATAACCCAAGGGCTTGCTGTCAGCGGCTCTGATCACAGGATGATGGTCCAGAGGATGGTGGTCCAGAGGATGATGGTCCAGGGGATGATGGTCCAGAGGATGGTGATCCAGAGGATGGTGATCAGAGGATGACGGTTCAGGGCCTGTTCCTTGCTGGTGGACCCAGCAGATCATGACCAGAGGGTGCTTGATCTGGTCCTGGTTGATGGGTCCAGAAGATGATCCTTAGAAAGTGCAGGCTCCGGATCTGGTGAATACAAAGGGGAAAAATACCAAAAGGTCACGCTTAGGATCGAATCCAGAATCATGAACTTCTGACTTCCTTCTTCTGACCAACTGCATTGGGTGTTAGTTTATCAATACAATAGAAACAAAAAAATAGATCACAACTATAGGCTTCTGGCCAGAATAAACGTGCCAGCATTTAAACCGGCCAGTAAAGTTGTGACACACCATCATCTTCTTCCCTGGATCTGTCGTTTAAAACTCTGAACCTTTACCTACAGACATGGTGCCGTGGCTATAACCTTGTGCATTTCAGAAACTGCATACAAGCAATATAAATAAGATTCAAGACCATGGATCAACTGGGTTTGACCCGCTGATCACAATGGTCTCCTCCATTAGGGCCAATTGTTCCAATATAAAGAATCCCTAAAAACAAACCATGAACCCTAGCAATGGCAACTTGCTGTATAGTTAATGAAAACGCAATTAAATATGACCATTAGCTTGAAAACATCATAAGGTTCAAGAATATATCACTGAATCATGCTAAATGTGCCTGAATCATGATATGCAAATTCAAAATAAAAAGAGAGGAACCACGTGACTCTTACAGTGCGTTTCAAGGCTTGAGGGAGCTTGCTAATGATTGAATCTTGATCCTTGGATGTCCAGTAAGTGATTGGGATGACTAGAATGCTTTGAATTAGTCTGGAACCTGGAAATTGATTCACAACTTTTGTTGAATTTTTGCAAGTTTGCCTTCTGTCCTTTACGCCTCTGAGCCCCTTGCTTTTCGTCTGCACATGTTCTATATGTACCCTTGAATGGATTAGGGTTACAATTTTGCTTCAAATCTTTATCAATTAAGATGATTGATTCATGATTTGATCCTTATGCAAATCTTTCCAAATTAAGCCAAATCCAATATTTTTATGTCCAAATGAAGCTTGCACGGTTTGATTCTCTTTCCAGCTGTATAAGAGACCTAAACATGCACAAAATCTCAAGCTTTGATTAGTTTTGATATTTTTCATGATTTTATTTTGATTTTATTTGATTTAATTGAAATAAAATTCAAATAAATGATAAAAATAAAATAAAGACAAGTGGGAAGGATCATGGGTCGTGGATCATGTTACAAACTCAAGGCAAGCACAAAAAGTTGGGCCCATTTGACAAAGATTGCAATTTTGGCCACATTTGACTTTTGGCAATTTTACAAAAATGGTCAACTTTGCCAATGCATAACTCCTTCAATTTTGACCCTATAGATGTGTTCTTATACTTTTTACAAAGCTTAGGATGTCCTCTAAGAAACCCTTTTGGTCTCATATCAATTGAGTCTCCATGTTCATTTATGAAGCTTTGACATAAAAGGTGTTTTTGTTAACTTTCCAAAATGACCTATAATGCCCAAATTTATATCTTCTTATGAGTGCATATTTTGAACTTAGTAGCTGAATGTGGATCACATGGAATTGCATCCTCTTCAAAATGATCTTTGTATGGGTCATTTATGATAAAGTATGAGAAAGCTATGCTTGGTCAAAGTTGAGTTGACTTTTCCTACAAAACCCTAATTTAGCAACATTTGGGTTTTGATGAATTGTGAGCAATCCTTGAGGAATCATGATCAACCCTTGATCAAATGATGAATAATACTTCAAAACAAGGATGTTGACCAAAAATCTTGAAGTTTGACTGTATGTAGGACACAATTGACTTTTGCCTTAGCACAGTCGATTTTCAGGCCCTTGAGCAACTGACTGAGCAAACTTCCTCTGCAAGGCTTGAAACTTAGCATGGATGATCTTGAGAACATATTAGGACAATGGTGAGCATTTGGGATCCTTTGAACTCAAACATCTTGATGCAAATTGAAACCCTAATTTGAGGTAGACTGCCTTAGGAGAGAGTTTGTCTGGTCAACCTTTGGACTTCCTTGAGCAACTTAAGGACTTTACTTGAAATGTATTGAGAAATATGGAGGGAAAATTTTGGGGTACAACAGCTTCCCCTGTTCAATCTTCTTAAACCTGAGGATGTAGATTGGTTTGCTTGCCTTTCGTGATCCAAAGGTGGAAGATGATTGAATACTAGAGTGCACATAAATTTGCACTCGCATGAAGTGGTACTGGCCTTGCTAATTCGGGAATGGGCTTAAGATTCCATTTGGAGATTGATGACGGAGGATGGGCTTAAGGATTCCATCAGAAGAAGTGTCGATCACATAAGAGATTCCTTTGCGAGAGCCGTATACCTGTTATTGAGGAGGACTACGCTGGGGAATGCTGGTCTCTGTCTTGGTAAAATTAGAATTTTAGGAGCTTCAATCATCCGTTATTCTATTGGGGAATCATCTCTTGGTCGAAGAGGTGAAAATGAACTACTATCTGGTCGTGATCCTGGCTTCATAGTGATAAGATTGACTGCTATCTGGTCGTGCTCCAGGCTTTACAGCGACTTACTGGGGGATGAGATTAAACTTGTTATCCGATCATTCTCCAGGCTTCGCAATTTCTCAATTCTTATCTGGTCGTACTCCAGGCTTCAGAAGGAATTAAGTTGTTATCCGGTCGCATCCGGGCTTCAACTTGAATTTAGGGCACACTAACATCCGGTCGATTCCGGTCTTCTTAGTAATTGTCCAGGTAAACTTCTATTTGGTCGAAATCCAAGCTTCGTAGTGTCCCATACTGTTATCTGGTCGTAATCCCAGGCTTCAGTATCCTTTTCCGCTATCTGGTTGTAATCCAGGCTTCACAACTTCTTACTTCTTATCTGGTCGCGTTCCAGGCTTTAGAAGAAATCAAGTGGTTATCCTGTCGCATCCGGGCTTCCATTTAATTTTAAGGCCTGCTAATATCCGGTCGATTTCCGGGCTTCATAGTAATTGGCCGGGTAGACTTCTATTTGGTCGAAATCCAAGCTTCGCAGCGTCCCCTATTGTTATCTGGTTGTAGTCCTAGGCTTCAGTGTCGTTTATCATTATCTGGTCGAATCTAGGCTTCATGGTGTCCTGTACTGCTATCTGGTCGATTTCCAGGCTTCACAATACCTTGTTAAGCTATTTTCCGGTCGATTTCTGGGCTTCACCACTTGTGTTTATGATATACCACTATCTGGTC